AAATTGTTGACCAAATTAAAAAGAAGCCACCCTGTTTTTCTTGAAAAATGCTGAAAGTGTGAACTAAATTGTAAAGAATGCACCTTATGTTCCATATAAAAGGCTGAAATTGCAAATTGCAAACCTACTTGAAAATTTAAACAATGAATAAATAACCATATTAAACAGTCTGGACCAGAAGACGGGCAGTAGGAGAAAGAAAGTTTTTATTGCTCTGGTGGGTCACCTGCTATCAAAACTGGATAATACAAATACACATACAATGGAATGAAAATCTTGAATTTCATCTCATATTTTGTTGTTGAAATATAAAAAAAAAAAACCAACACATTTAATAGTTGTTGAAAGTGATATATAGGAATATGAAGATATTCTAAAAATTTCAATATCAGACCAACCAACATAAAAAAACACATTAGACATGACATTTCAAGACACAAATAAGTAGACAATAAAATAAGATATGTACTCAGTTCGAAGAAAATTTACTTACAACACAGCATGTTTTATCTGTTTTAGAACATTTTACCATAATTCCTAAGGCAATGATGTATCTAAAATTTTGTTTGAAAAAAATAAACATGACAGTATCTTGAAAGTAATTCGTTGATGTGAAAATGTATTAGAAAATTGACATTATTGTCAGTGAGTTTTCATTAGTCTATGGAAACCGTTACAAAAATGTCACTCTGTGCATATTATTGATTTTTCTCAAAAAATAGATTGACAATAAACAAGAAAATTCACAAATTGTTGAATAATACTAAAATATTGTCACTGAAATATGCGCTAAAATACGTAAAATTCTAATCGTAAGAAACATAAATCAATATAATAATAAAATACAATATTTCCATGTTTATACAGAAAAAGAAATTAAAGTCATACATTATTAGAACACATTAATCAACAGTATATCATTAATTAATTTATGCTCAATAATTAAATGGATCATATTTATTTTAAAATTAATATTTTACAGACAGAATATGATATGATTTTTATAACAAACAATGTGATGAACTTATAATATAAAAATAATGTGATTGAAAACTGAACTATATTGTGTGGAAGGTCACGACAATGTATGGTGGTGAAAAGGTCTGTGTCTAGATGGTGTGCTGGCGTATGAATGCATAAAGAATTGAGAGCATTGAGAACACAAACAATATGTATATGCCGTTCTTCTCATTGCAAAGTCGATATACCTTGCTAAAGAATAGTCAAGAATGTGTTATCGTCAACACAACTAACAAACTAAACATGTTCAGTTATACCATCTTAATAAATTGTAAACAAACAGACAAATTTTACATCATGAAATGGAGGATTCAAACTCATGATCACGACAAATGCCACAACACTGCAGTTTGAAATGACGTATAGTGAGCATCGCCCTCAGCGACTAGATGGCAATGCACAAGTTGTATCTTGAACATCACAAACAACATATATACAGTAGTTATGTCGTCACGGTTCAAATGAACTTTACTTATTTACGATTGATCTCAAGTCACGTATATCTGTCCACCATGCAGAAACGACATGTACCACTGAGTTGAGTTAATAAATTATACATGAAAACAAACAGACAAATATTACAACATGAAAGTCATGATTTGATTTAACAATCACGGCAATCACCTCACCACTACAGATATAAGCTGATTTATATTTCAGGGAATAAGGAGAAAATTGCAATATGCAATATCAAAGATGATCATTTGGAATCTATATTTTACCCTTTTCCTGTGATTTTCACAATTTGCAGCGTTAAAATTAATTTACACAGAATTCTGAACTCTGTAAGGACACATAAGTTACTTTAAATATGTAAGCCTTTCTTAGATAAAAACTTAGAATATATACAGGTTGTAATAATTATTACTAGTAACCATGGTAACAAACATTTCCCTACCAAAATGTTGCTACCACTTTTTTAAGCATTTTCTTAAAATTTATTGTTAATTCGTTTGGATCAAATTAACATAAGCGATCTGTCAAGTATGCTTTTGTTACTGCACAAAGTTTACTGACGATCAATTTAAAGAGTAAATTGTTTCAGTCATAGTCATAGACCAACCTTAATTATAGCTGGAGAGAGCTTTACTTGATATGGCAGCAAATATAAGATCAAATTTGAAAGAAAATGAGGTCGTTAGCTGTGTCAACGGCAAAATCACAGGGAGTGAACATGCAACATTTGACAAAGATAATGACACTGAGTTATACGTTAGTGAACGAACCAAAAAAAAAGTTGATAGCGCAGGGAAGAAGTTGGAAAAAAGACAGTTTTGAAAGTTTAACTTTAAAATTAACTCCTTCCCTAACACAGTATAGATGTGTCAAAAATGTAAAGATGAAAATGAATGTTGAATTTTATTTTGAAATGAGGGCCACTGACTAGCTATTTAGATGCCTAATGTCCAGAATGATTTCCTATATTGAGATTCTTGTACTTAGTGTTTTGTTAGGGTGTTAGTGAAAGTTTAATTGTTGATGTGACTTAATATGCTTTTCTCAACTCTCAATTTTTGTCTTGTTTTGTAACTTTATTGTAAGCAAAATAAAAAAAACAAAAAAAACAAAAACATAATTTCATTCAATGAGTTCTGATCCTGATCCAAAGTGTAAATAAAATGATTGTAAATTGTTTACTTACAATAAACCCACTCATCCTTCTGAATATATCATGATCTTTCCAGCCAAAAATTGTGTTAATATTTTCTGTCCAAGACATTGTTGAAAAATATTGCACATTTTTAAGTATTTTTCTATACTTTTTCGTTGATATTTAAACCAAATGGACAATAATTTCCAATTAAATAAACATGCAGCTTTATTTTATGAATGTTGAATTTGAAAAGTTACATTGATGTTGTGACAATGTTTTTTGCAGATCAGCTAATTCACAGAACTATGACTTGAAACATTCTTGCATTTATTAATATTCATATTTTGAATTCTTGATGAATATGCTCTTTCAATGAAAAGCATACTGTTTTTTTTATTATAAGTTAATATAATTATTATATCTCAGTCTGGAAACTTTACTCGTAAATCATTTACAGAATATAGCTGCTTTTCATTGTATAATTGACACAAAAATACCTGACTTACTTTCCGGTATGAATGGTAACATTCAGCCCAATTTAAAATAAATACATAAGACGTAGACATTTTATTTTAAGGCGAGTGAATGATCATGATCGTTCACACAAAATTTTGCACAGGTTCGCTAAAATAAAATTTCACATCTTTGCGTATTTATACACGTGGCATGACGACCCCTGCCCTTTAATACTGTAAACCAAATTATTTTTATAAGCGTCAAATTTTCGCCAATTTTGGGTGTCAGGGACGACTGCTGAATTTTCCAGTAAATGTACCAGTAGGCTCATTAAAACAATAACCGATAGTCGTAGTGACTCAAACATTTCGTTGAGGTCAATAAGACAGAGTCTCATACATTATATTTTGTAAATACTGGTGAATTATGTGTGTTACATACGATAGAATGGGGGAACGTTTGTTTTCTGTTTTAGAGACAGTTATGTGGATCCAATGTATAATGCATTATTTTTAAATGCTAAACTTTGAACAAATATCTTGTTCGTGTGGTATTGAATAATTTTAATAAAAATAAAAATAAAAAATAAAAATAAATTTGTTTTACCACAGGGAGCCCAGGAACTATAAGAAACTATAATCAACTGTAGTACGCACTCCCTATGAGCGAGGGGGGGGGGTATCGGCTGGTATCCGTGTAAGAAATAGACAAGGGATGAAGGCTCCGGCGAGCTCATATTTTTTAAACTGGAAAAAACAGACGAACAGAATGAAAAATAAAATCTATAAAAAATACCAGGTTGAAGATTATTAGTTGCTCTTTCACAAAGCCTTACTAATATTTTACCTATATCTGCAGAATAAATCAAGAAAACTACACAAACGGTTTGCCCGAACGCACGGCACAGTTGGAGGCGTGGCCTGTTCAGCATTTTGTCAACAGCCAATCACAAGACTGGACCTCGATGTGGTTCGTAACCAGCCTTGTGATTGGTTGTTGACAAAATCCCTGTGGTTTTACCACATCATTTTTCGCTTTTCCCTGCGATGATCAAGAAGCAAAATCTTAGGGGGTCTACTTTTCACAAACTGTTCCTTTAAAAACACACTAAGCCATAGATAGAAACCTACAAACCTTTTGCAAACTAAAGAGTGTTAAAAGTTATTATTATACATCTGTCACCATAACGCCATAAGTTACAGCGTGCCATAATTTTGCGGTATTGCACTGGGTATTTTCATCCTACCATATTAGGAAATGTGAATTCTGATTACGCATGTAGCGTCTTCTAATAATAAAAACAAACATGGCAGCCCCCAGGGTTTGACCGGACTCCACACAAAGAAGTTCGCTAAATCTGTTCTAAACTTTTTTGATTTTTGCATTCCCAGGTTGTATCCTTGGAAGGGAAAGATGTATAATAATAAGGATATCATGAAGATACCTCAAAGTATGCACTCAGACAGTAAGACGTCGCATCAACCTCCACTGTGCGTCATTCGATACTCGTCATTCGCTGTACTGTCTTCGTGCATACTTTTCGATATCCTCGTAATAATTTCATATTACGCACATAAGATACATACAATAACTATAGAATTGTTTAAAACATGTTACTTTTTTTCACTCAAAAACATGTTTCTGTAGGCTAGAAACTTTTAAACCTATTTCCATTTGACATGAGTAATCACAGCTATAAGTATATAATCTCTGTATATCGAACTTCACTTTGAATTCAGTGAAGTGGAACAATAACTTCACAAATACAGTACAGGCCAAGTGTAACTTAACACTTACCTAATTCTTAGCTTGACCAAAGCTAACTTAGGTTGCATTTAAAACTATTAAATGTCTGAATTGTGATGACTAGTCAGCCTAAGTCTCATATTAGATAAATACTACAAGAAATAACAATTTTCTAAATACTTGGCAGGTTAAAACAATTCATTCATCTTTTTTTTTCTTAGACTTCTTCTTGTCTTTTAATTGTTTAGCCGTCAATGAAAGTCTCTGTGCGTGCATTGCTAATGTTATGGTTCTTTCTTCCGTGTCTTGAAGCTTCTCTCCTCGTTCAACGGTGCCCTGAAAAATAAATAAATAATAAATAAAAAATAAAAAAATTGATAATGTTGTAATTTATTAAAAGAATAACCTGTAGACTTGTTGAATTAGTCCCAGGCATTTCAAATTTCATTATGTAGAGTTTTGAGCGTGAATATGCTTCTTCAAAGTCAAATTTGTCAGTAAATGACCCCTGGCCAGTTGCTCTGACCTCTCTGTTAAGTCTGTGACACACTCCCCCAGAGTTAGATTCAACAATTGTTTGGCATTCATTACCGTCCACTGACCACAAGGCTTGATCAACAACAACTATGCTACTGGTTATCTATCACTTATAAAAAGTGTCTTTAACATTTATTAAAACTATTTTTTGATGGGCAATATTGACAGGAAAATGTAATTTTCAGTATTGTTGTTTGACAGAGATATTGATGGATTATGATATATGGTGAACTGAAAGTTTTTTTCTTATAGCTTTTATCTAAAGATTTGTTCCACCACGCAATGACTTGCTTTGATACGCTAGTACACTGGTTGATTTGGTACATACAATAACAAACACTGCACATGCATATTAGTGGTTTTAATTTTTTTATCTAACGAATAATGTTGTGTAATTTAAGATGCATATTCTACAGTATCGAACGACAATATTTGGAAAATATTTTTTTTTCATCCATATCAAGGGTTCTTCTAGAAAAAAACTGCAAGAGGGAGCACTGCAATTCAGCGGTGCCACCAAGGTAAGGGGGCGCATGACCATGCCATGAGGGCACTGCGTCCTGTTCCCTTGTTTAAAAAAATTCCTGCATATTGCAACTATAATATTATTCAATAAAAAGTTAAATTAGCAACTAATTTAATTAAAACTCTCAATATTCATATTTTAATTATTGGCAATATTTATACAATTATTACACAATAGTCAATGCTATGTACATGTCATACACATCATGTAATATAATGAATGTAAGCCACGTCTTTAACGTCAACTACTCTCATAACAGTTAATTACACACACACAATCAATAAATATAATTACACACAGGGAAAACAATTAAAATAATAATTAATAATAATAATAATAATTAAGTTCAAGTAAATTAGGTTATACTAGGATGTTGATTACACCTATTATAAGCCAGTTTTTCTGAAACATTTTTTCACATTAATTAATAATTTTGCAACATATTTTGTCTTTTTTAATTATTTTATTTTTATTTTGCTTACTTTTTTTAATATATTGGCTTTTACTAAAAAACATAATTAAATGATTGGAGCTTTAATTGTTTTATAGCTACATAAGGTGGCATAGTTACACTGTGAGTTCTATTTTTTTAAACAGTCAATATTTATATTTTTAAAATTGTCAATATTCATATTTTAAAATTGGCAATATTTTACAACATAAGGGTATGTACTATTTTCATCATCCTTTGATAGAACTACCGAATTTCTTATGACCACAGAAACAATATACATTCTATACTGATTATCTTATCAATATCAACATTTTTTTACAAAGCAAAAAAAAAAAAATTTGAAAGAAATGTACATGACACGAATAAAAAACAACATTGGAGTAGAGTCATGTTGTTTATTTTCTTGAGGTTTCTAATCTGTGTATTGCTGACCAGGGAGTTAACAAACCAGCATCAGAACATAGGCAATTAATTCAGCAAATAGACATAAAATGAAAAGGTTACGACTTGATGACTCAGCAAATAACAACACATGTCATATTGAGACAACACTTTCAAAAATTTTAGTCAAAAAAATAATTTAAAAACTCATAGAAAATACAAAAGCAGTAGCGAAGAAAAACTACTGGCAATGAACGCGAAATTAAAATAAAATTACTACCGTAAAATCTGTATTAGAAGCCGCATCCCTAATAGAAGTCGCACCCATTTTTTTTGAATAATTGAGAACCAAAAATTCATCATTTCTCATATGTGTAGATGCTCTATTAGAAGCCGCATCCCCTCTGTTGCATTGTACCATTTTAATAGAAGCCGCGGTTTCTAATACAGATTTTACAGTAAATTGAAAGTGTAGGACAAAGATAAAATTAATATGAACAACACCATCTAATGCAGACATTACCTGGCAAGGTAGAAGCATTATACATATGCCTGCTCAGTGATCAAAAAATTTCATCCGGCCATTTTGCCACATTTCCATTTTTCTTTGGAATTCATTCATTGGCCATAATTAGCACTCTTATTTCTATAAACAAACATTCAACTCAGAAAGGCAAAGTAATTTTAGCCAACAAACTTAAATCTAAAATTTATTATATATAAAACTTGTTGTACAACGATGTATTGTTTTCATTTGTGGGCTGTATTTTCCAAAGCTAATCTGAATGCTGTGCGGGTTGCTTATAACAACGCTTTTCGCGCTATTTTTTTATGTCAGTCGTAACTTGAGTATTTCTGAAACTCAAATTTTAAATGGTGTACCCACTTTTTTAAGTGTTCTGCGCAAGTCCAGAGCTGGCTTTTACACAAGATTGACTTCTAGTGAGAATTGTTTAATTGTGGCAGCCATGTCTACTGACATGTTGAGGGACAGCAACTACTGGAAAAGGGTCTTTTCTGATATTTATAAGGCGCCTTATTTCTAATGTCTGTTTTGCTGTTGTGTTTTTAGCAATTTTCAAGGCATTGTTATGAGCTGCATGGTTCTCGAAATAAAAACTATTATATTATTATTATATATGAATATATATTGATAAATTCAAAAATGAGCTCCAACTTTCAATTATACATAGCCCATCAATCAATGTTAGACAAACATTCTGACAGGAAAAGCACTCAAAATAGGGCTGTGCTGCTGCAATGTTTCCACACTCCAAGTAAGCAGAGGTGTCAGCCACACTATGGAATCAGTTTCTTGTTCGCAAACATTAGGGGTGACGTTAAACCTCCTCCTTACTTCCTATTAGTTAAAAAGGTGATGAGTCAATGAAGTTTGGATTAGAAGGGCCGCAGCTGGAATGGTCACTTAAGCTACATTCTCACACGTCTAAAAAACGCCGGTGTTGAAACTGTTTTTTTGTTGTGAAAATATTAGCCTATCAGCTGAATTGTCTGCTCGCGTTCTCACTTAGTAAAAACACTGGTGTTTTGCGCCCTCAATGAATCATATCACGGAAAGGTCAATAAACAAATGAAAGGTCAATTGACAAAATGGCATCCCCTCTGGTATATGCATTTGCTTTGTTTCTGTTTTTCAGTGTGTTTTTACGCTCGAGAAGAAGGCAATGACGATTGATTAATGGAGATTTCGAAGAGCAAGAAATTGCCAACGTATCAGGTCGAACCAGACTAAGAAATGATCGGTTCATGTTCACGCTATTCGCGTGTATGAATAACGCAACAATAGACCTGGCAACCTGAGCAATTTGGACTCGACAGCGCGGAAATAACTGGTGGGAAGAAATAGTGTTACGAACATGGGATAACTGAGATTGGCTAGAAAATTCAACTTGTAACTTCTGAAGCCATCTTGTGTAATGTCTAGCAGAAATAAGTCGGCGATAGAGGGCTTTTGGCCATCATATTGTGTTCACACGGCACATTCCATTGTGCAAGAGCGGGTGTGACAACAGCAAAACTGTCAAAAACGTCAGCGCCACAACGGCATATTCTGTTCACACACACATTTTAACAACTTTCTCAAATAAAAGGCGTTCTGACAACGACTTATTTCGTCTAATGAGAAAACCACTATATTGTCTTACAAACAATGGTCACATAAATATGTGAAAAAAATAGTTTGTTTAAAACAACGTTTGAAGAACCAAAATAAATATTAAAATTTCTTGTCACCTTGCACAACCTGTTGCGCATGTGCAACATTTGTGTTGATAAACATTGATTTGTTTATATGAGACCCATATATCGCACAAACATGGCACGATGACCACTCCCCATTAATTGATATTTCAGTCCCCTCTTCCCTTCTCTTTAATTCATTCGTTTCAAGGTAATTCACACGAGAACACAATCAAATTTGGCATACTAAGTGCCTCATCTCTTCTCTTGCCTAAATCTACCCCACTTTTTCAAATGATACATCCCTTAGCATCTTTAATTAAAAGCTGGCAATGTAATATTTACCTTGTACGCCTGAGAAGTAGCTTCAGCTGCAGACACTGTGTCTGGGTCACAATTTGCGGATCCACTGGTAACGTCTTCTTCATTTAAACTGGACTTTACTGAAATAGAACAATTGAGTAAATAGTGTTAATTCATTAGGTAGTGTGTTCTTCAGCCATTGTCACCTATGGATATTCTATTGATGGTTTTGAGCCATATATCATCTATGGGAATTCTATTGGTGGTCTTGAGCCACTGTCACCTATGGGAATTCTATTGGTGTTCTTAATCCACTGTTGTCTATTGGAATTCTATTGATAGTCTTGAGCCACTGTTACCTAAGGGAGTTCTATTGGTAGGCTTGAGCCACTGTCACATATGGGAATTCAATTGATAGTCTTGAGCCACTGTTACCTATGGTAATTCTATTGGTAGTCTTGAGCCACTGTTACCTATGGGAATTCTATTGGTAGGCTTGAGCCACTGTCACATATGGGAATTCTATAGGCAGTCATGAGCCACTGTTACCTATGGTAATTCTATTGGTAGTCTTGAGCCACTGTCACATATGGGAATTCTATAGCTAGTCGTAGTCTTGAGCCACTGTTACCTATGGGAATTCTATTGGTAGTCTTCAGCCACTGTTACCTATGGGAATTCTATTAGTAGACTTGAACCACTGTCACCTATGGGAATTCTATTGGTTGTCTTGAGCCACTGTAAGCTATGAGAATTCTATTAGTAGTCTTGAGCCACTGTCACCTATGGGAATTCTATTGGTAGTCTTGAGCCACTGTTGCCTATGGGAATTCTATTGGTTGTCTTGAGCCACTGTAAGCTATGAGAATTCTATTCGTAGTCTTGAGCCACTGTCACCTATGGGAATTCTATTGGTGGTTTTGAGCCACTGTCACCTACATGCATGGAAAACTAACCAGACTATTAAACTCACTACAAATTTACTTTATTATTTAAAATTTAAAAGTGAAAAACTACCCAGATTCATGGCGTTCCACAATTACATGATGCAACTCCCAGGGATTGAAAGCCTCCCCTTTAACATACTTGTATATTATATTATATTATATTATATTATATTATATTATATTATATTATATTATATTATATTATATTATATTATATTATATTATATTATATTATATTATATTATATTATATTATAGTATATTATAGTATAGTATAGTATAGTATAGTATAGTATATTATAGTATAGTATAGCAATATGTAAATTAGCTGATCAATATGTTAAGTTTGTAGCAAAAATCAGAATGTAGAATTTCAAGTGTGGTATTGCAGTTTGTTTTCATTAAAATTCATAGTAGGGCTAGAGGGAGGAGGGTCAATTCATAAATGAGGGGTAATTCCAATTCTCTAAGTAACCAGAAAATGATTGAAGTAGCTGGTTACCAGCGTTTAATTTAATAACAAGCCTGATTACTGGTATGTCAGTATTTAGTTTCAGTTTAGTTACTTGCACAACTTTTATAACATCCAACCCACCCCTACAGTAAAATGGTTCATCTTTCTCTTTCTTTAAATAAATAAATGGATGTTTGTTTCATTACCACTACATGTGTGAGTGAAATGGCAGTGACACAAGAGTAAAAGCATTGTAATTTATATATATTGCCCCCCCCCCCCCGAAAATAGAAACACGACTTTGCACAGTGAATACAGAAGCACTGGATGTGATAAACAATGTCCATGTGATTTATAAACTTTATATTATGTGAAGCTAAATATACACAATTTTGTTTTCAACAATGCACACATGTAAATAAAAATTGGCCGCCTACTCCCAGAATTTTTTTTTTTGAATTAGACAGGTTAGAGTCCATCATAAATAACTTTGAATACAGTTAGAGTTGTCAACAGATAGTGAGACAGCCATCTTTCAATGAAATGTCTCATTTGAGAATAAAAAGAATGAGTGGCAAAAACAGACATAATTTATTCAGAGTACCTGTTGCTACATGTATTAACAGACATCAATTGTGGAGCTTGTGTTTGTTAAAAAACGAGAACGTATTTGAAAAAAAAAAATACTTTTATATCATAGAAAGGTGAATTTGGTGTGGAAAACGTAAATTATTACATTGCTCATTTGAAAGTATATGCATATTAACAAAATATAAATGCATTTAAGACAGTTATTGCGGGTAACTACGTCACCGTTTTTATGAATAGATCAACCGGTATGTGCATGTTGAATACTCCCACTTTTGCATTTGGTTTCAATGAATGAATGTAAACACCAACTTACCGTTCGCGTTCTTTTTGCCGCTAAACCGTCCCTTCATTTTCTTGAATGTCGATTTGGAGTGCATAGTCTTTGTTTCTGGGTGTTCCGCCGGGTCTTCCATGAGCGGCGTTTTTTCAGTCGATTTTTTTTGGAATATTTTCCTTAGTGTCGAGCCATACTTGCGCGCACTCTTTGGGCGTCCTGTCTCCAGCTCCGCCGCGGCAGGCTCGGAGGTTGGCGGAGCTTCTTCAGGTTCTTCTTCATTTTGTTGACAACAGCAGTCACAACAGTTGCCCATTGAGAACACGAAAACAAATACTAGATACTATGTTTGAACGGCGATCACTGTTCCTGGGTTTTCAAACTTTTAAACTAAACTTGAGAGAGTGGGAACCATTTCATCCAGGCCACGGTACTGGACAAAATAGGAAATACATGAGCTAACTATGAACCAATACCGACGATTTGATGTTAGGTGATTGAAAAATTACGAACCCGCTTCAGATAAAATGCTCGCAATGAACTGACAGTGTCATCAACTGTGCCGTGCAACTCGTATTCAACTTGACAGGGTCTAACATAACCCGGAAATAGGACCATACTGCCGTAGATGGCGCTATGCCCGACAAGTTTGACAAACTTTGAATTCTAGTCCGTGGCACACCAGGCACATCTAGGCTGGCTAAATTCTATCGAAATCATGTTCATTTTAATACATAACATCAGTACATAATAATTGAAGAACAAATAATTGTGCCCTTATTCTAAAATTGTAATTCGTCTAATGTTAATATTAATCACTGTCAAACGCTATTTGTTAAAACCAACACTAACAACAGCAAAGTGGCCCAGGTGTTAATTAAACAAATCGCCCCGTATCACAAATGTATTACCAGTTTAGAAGCGCGCCTCCACCAGTTGTCAGTCAAAGCTACCGATTGTATTATCCCCACTTGATTTTACAAATGACACTCACTATGACATCGTCATGCTGGTGGCGGCTAACCATATTTTTTTTTGTGCAACTTTTTCCCCTTCAATTTGAAAATCAATTACCTAATTGTTTCCATTTGGCATTGGATTAGATTATAGATATGAACGTTTTACGCAGAGCTACTAATTGAACTGTGTAATGGCGGAAACCGCCCGGCAATGTTGGGTTTTGGGGCACCGCGGAGGACGCAAAACACAGACCTTGTCAGGCTGCCTGACAGCGACCATTCTCCGTTCACTCAGAGATCTAGATTGGCGCAGATTAATTTGTTTTTGTAGTTTTAATAAAATAAAAAAAAAATCGCCAAATGGAGGTGTTAGCGCGAAATCACCGGGGTGATTTCGCAGTTACAGGGGATTTCGCGCACCTCCATTTCGCGAATTTTTTTATTTTATTTAAACTACAAAAACAAATTAATCGCCCCGACTGCGCCAGTCTATCAGAGATCCCGCGTGATGCGTGAAATCGAAATGACAAATGAAGGTCATAGTTTCACAGTGTCGTCAAAACAATGCGTGGGATTTGGCAAACGCGAAAGTATTTTTACAGTGGGGGAGTCGTCACCTGCGTACGCGTCAGATGGCCATAGCATGTCATTGTTTACAAACAAGCGTCTACCCACGAGCCTTTGCGTTTTTAGCGTGTGTTGTTATAGTCACTTGGGACTGAATTCCCGCACGTGCGCAGGTGACGACCCTCCCGCTTTAATGAAGTAAGTGTATATCAACGCCATATTTCCCACTGAAAGGTGAGAATTTTGACATTGAGCCATGAAAAAAAAAAAGAAATTCGAGTTCAAATCAAATTATTCGATTTGCGTGGCTGACATTATTTATTTATTTATTTATTTATTTATTTATTTATTTATTTATTTATTTATTTATTTATTTATTTATTTATTTACCGAATCAGCGCACAACTCTGAACACTGTTCATCAAATGTGAAATACTTTGGTTCTCTCTCACCTGTCTCTGTCGCCATAACAACCATAAATTCAGTCTTCAAATACACCCAAACTATAAACATTTTTATTGGAATACTTTATCAGACTTGGGAATGAAGATATGTACTTCGCATTTTGTGTGCTATAAATTGTAGAAGTTTATGTTGAAGGGGATTTTAAAGTGATTTTGCCAATTGTCATTTTGAGGTTGTAAGAAGTTAACCAGAAAATACCAGCACTCGTAGCGGGTAAATAAACTGTTGTCATCTTTCGATGACGTGACCAAAATGTGCAATGTGTATTGTCATTGCGCATGCGTACGATTCGTTCAGCCACGAGACTTGTTTTTTGCTACTCCACACAATCACGAAAACGGGTGAGAATAAAACACTTATTGAGGGCCAATACAATTTAGGGACTCGCGTTATCAGTGATATATCGGCGGCCATTTGCGACTAAGTTCTATTCCGAATTGGGGGTATTGGCTAATTCATGGAGCTCCATGGGAATACTTCAGTAATAAATAAAATATCAGGCAACTAGCATACGCAAAACAAGGTTTAAGCGTGAGCTTAATTTGCGTTGACGAAAGCTGTTGAAAATAAATGTTAAAGCGGGAGGGTCGTGACCTGCGCACGCGCGGGAATTGAGTCCGAAGTGACGATAACAGCACACGCTAAAAAAGCAAAGGCTCATATGCAAGACGCTTGTTTGTAAACAATGACACGCTATGGCCATCTGACGCATGCGCAGGTGACGACTTCCCCGCTTTAATATTGTATCAATGACTAAGTTTCTTTTGATATTTGTTTTGATCACCATTAATTCCCCATATTAAAAGCAGATACCCTGCCTTCACTTTACAGCCCGCTTATTTTAGGTGTACTGCAGGGTCTTAACCCATATTTGTCATATACCTACAATAGAACGGGTCTTTAAGAACAAACAAAACCGCCTAACTCGGTGAGTTTCTTATTTACAAATCTAGCTAAATTTAGGAGGTCTTCCTTAACTCATGTTCTGTAGCTAATTTCTCATTACTCGTCCAAAATGCCAACATTTGATGGTATAAAAATTAGTCAGGGGGTGGTAACCCCACACACTTTAACATAATTACTCTGATTCTCTGGCTCTGATTCTAAACACGCACTGTATGACAATAGTAATATCGGATAGATAGATAGGCGGTTAGCACAGCTGATGTCAACTATGATTCATATTGCTTCAAACGCCTAAGAAGTGGGTACTAAAATAGAGCCATCAAAAAATACTACTGAAAGTGTGCACGTTGATGGTAAGTGTGTCCAGTTTCCCACTAAGTGATTACTTAGATGTAGGCGAGTAGCCGTGGTTTGATGGGTTTTTTTTTTCAGCGTACGGCGTTGCCAATATCAGTACCAAAATCAATATTGAGTTTACCGGAAAGTTTTTAAAAGTTTGAGACAGTTCAGTATTTTCTATATAATATAGTTTTCTTTTGACTGTGTGATAACCTCCACGTGTATGCTTAAATTTGTACAAACCGACCAAACTTTGTGTAACGTGATTATAATTGTAACACGACTTGTTACGGATAACGGCTGAATGTATGACATACAAATATCACAATCATGCATACATGATTTTCTGATTTTTTTTCTCGCACAGATCTGATCGAGCTTGTTCGTTTCATGTCGTCGCTCGGACACGAATCAAATAGTAATTCTATGTATGTCCATCTTTCTGAATCTCATGTATACAATAATAACGATGCAAATTGGGTGGAAATCTGTCTCTTTTAATGAAGTAATAATATGCAGGCAAATCTGCATGCTTTTCACAGCATAATTGTCTATGCCCGATGTAAAACATCTTCTGTTTTATTATGTTCAGACAGAAATTCCTCAGTTAAAGATTACAGTCTAAAGAATACATAACGACGTGATACGTGGGTATGCGTTCAATCCGTGACCATGGCGCGTGATAATATTGCGTGTGCGCAATGAGTCTGAATGAGTTTAGTGGATAGACCACGAGGCGTAATGATACTGTGTACGCTCGATGAATTAGATTGAAGTAATATCTGTTAACGATTTAGGTTAATGTCAAAATATTTTATATTGGAGGTTAAAAACGTCTGCAGGAAAAGTTACATTGCCATGAGCTACAACAATCGTATCAATTTAGTTTTTTTAATTAAGCAGCTTGCATAATTATGTAAAATTGTATTTTATCGTTGATTATTCCCGGTTAATATTTCTCTATCTACTGGTTGGTTAAATGCGTTCATCCAAGGAAATAATTGTTAACATTATTCCCGTCAAAAGGAACACATAGATATAGACGATAAAACTAAGAACACTCAAATGGGTAAAGGTTAGTTTGCGATATTTAATGTCGTATTATTCTCGATTATTATGCGATTGCCGCAATTGGTCACCGATTTCCGTCGATATGGTGGTTCTGAAACGTGTCTTTTATTGGAAAGTGGGCTTAATAGTGGCGTGACTGAGCACCAATACACATTCTTGTTAACGAAACGGGCATTTAATCCGTTGCATATGGTGGTTGTTAAATCAAATTTCCAAATTTCATTTTCGGGTTGAACAATTTGCGTTCAATATATAATAATTCACCGTTATTAGATTCGTGTTTTCAGTCACTTCTTATAAGTCTATTTTTGTGATGGAAATCAAATAAAATACGCTCAATGATAACAGTGAGTCTAAAGGGCACTTGACATTATGTATTTCAAAGGACGACGAAGACGACTTTTAAGAATACACTAGTTGGGAGTCGTTACCCGTGCACGCGACAGACTGCTATAGCATGTCGTTTACCCATGAGCCTTTTCGTTATTAGCGTGTGTTGTTATTATAACGCGAGTATACTTTTTGCCGTAATGTTAATTAGTATTTATATTTCACACACGGACTTTCAACAATATATATAAAATAATATCAGTAAATTCTTGAGCAACTGTACATTACACTTACAGAGATATTCTGTTTTTGTCGAGCGTTGAACCCTTGCGTTCCAACTGCTACCACAGACATGTAGTTTCGACATTCATTTACCTTACCACTACCGGAAGTTCCCTTTCAGAAGCAACCACATTAAGTTCGATAATATTCTTACATTATGCTTTATTGCAGTTCCTCTGTATACTCTTCTAAAACGAGCGAAACGTCCGTTGTTTAATGTTTGGCATTCAGTTTGTTTTTAGTTTCATGTGTGCACTCAGTGCTGTTTTAATTAATTTACCAACAATTCCCAGTCTTAGGAACACTGAGGGTGGTACCTGGCCTAACTTAAAATGTACAACATAAAGTGTTTCTCCAATGTGTTAAGAACTAAACCAAAGTTCAACATATTTTGACTCTACCATTCCTTCAGGATAAAATTATCTTAGCTTCATATCCATGGAAATTTTATCAATATAATTGATTTGAAATATCATTATTTATTAATAATGAAAAATAACAAAATTGTTTACATATAATAAGCTTAAACCCATCCAAAACGCCATATACCTGAAATAAATGCACAAACGGCACCCATACGCATGTCGACCAATTGATTATTTGGTTTTTTCAAGATGGATGCTGTGCGCTTTGTCGACAGTAAACAATTACAAATATTCATCTGGTGCATTATAGTACATTTAAATAAATAAAATTTGAGACTTTGCGATTTTTTTAAATATGTAGATGACCCTAGGTAGCATCTGGGGGCCATTTCAGTACACCGAAAAATAGAATTCATGTCTTCTGAAATATTTAATTTGTAACTTAGAAAATCTTAAATATGTTGATGTCTCTAGGTAGCATATGGTACTATTAATAAGTACATTGAAACAAAGAATTAATACCTTTCAATTTCAAATATTTATTTTCCTACTTGTTTTGTAGTATACATTACTATATTTTTCTATGTATTGCTCTGTAGACTTAACAATTACTCTGGGTTATAGTGCTACACTGGAAGATCGCAGCCAGAGTGACAACATTCCGATATGAAACTCTCAGCTGCTACTCCATGTACAGTCAGCTCTTGTTTAGATAAATGCTTATGTAGTTCACCAGACTGGAACCCGTCCCTTTCACACGACAGACACTGCTCATCTCCAGGCAGTTTTATTTTGTATCTTTGACATAGTTTCTTTTCATCAGAATAGTTACATGATTGTTTTACTACTAATATGGCATTTTGTTAGTTATTTGTGTACAGCTGGAGTAAGACAAAACAACAGAAAAAATAAAATTGTACCACTTCACTTCTTCAATTGGATTTAGTATTTATATTTTCTAGTTGAATGAGACATTTTGATCACAGTTTACTGATCATCAGATTTAATTTGTAAATTACTTTATTTGTTTCTTGGAGATTTATCTTCAACTAAACCATGATCATGATCAATATATACATCCTGCAATTTGTTTGTTTGGTGGGTCAAGCTCAGTCAGAAGTTCTTGTAGAAAAAACAAATACACCAGAAATCTGAAAAAAACAACAAAAACAAAACAAAATAAAATAAACATTGCTACTAAAGAATAAATTAATTTATTAGTGGTTTGGGGTATACAACAACAGTAATAGTGATTCATATCCAAGCACAACTGCACTAATAGGCATTCCACGGGCCAGCCATATTATTTCTTGTTTTTTCTTTATTTGTACCTAATTGGCACACAAACCTTCAAAGCATTTAAATTTTGACTGTCTAACAGACGACCTTTAATAAACAAAACATATGTGATGTTCGCAATAGTCACAGTCTAATACAATACACAAATTAGATATAAACATGTAACACTGTACGAACATTGCCGTACTTTAAAAATGGCTTCCAACTTAAAAAAGTTGAGTCAGCTGTTTGCGTGTGAAACTACCAAAGCCTCTCTACAGCAATGATGTTCCATTAATACAGGCGAGTTTTGTCTACGTGAACAATAAGCATTAATTTAAGTTTTCAATATTGTTATATGAAGAAATGACGAGAAATTCATGCCCTGACTAGAACCAAATAAATACACTAATCTGTATTTAGAAAAAACGACTCAATCAAATGAATATTTAATACTTTGCTTTCAATTGAAACTGCATAATTTTGAAATATTCATCTACTCGTACATAATTTCTATTTTATGTGTTTAATTCTATCATGATATTTGACGAATTCCGCCAGATTCATTATCTCACTAATATAGGTCGACTCATCTGCAATAAGGCTATAAAATTGGAGCTCTTGGAGCCTAGACTTATGGTTTTTACTTATAAACCGTCTATTCGTGCAGTTCTGAGAAACTAATTTGAAAAAATAAAAAAAGATCCAGCAAAATAAACGTTTGAATTAGTTGCACAAACAGCATTTACTTAGGTGTTAGGGATTTCCCTTTTAACGAGCCGCAATAAATTTCCGATGAGCTTCATCTTCTGGTCTCCAAGACTTTTGTAGGGAGATCATATGAGTATGACTTGAGCTTGTTAAGTTTCCTTGGCCCTGGAAGGACTTACGCATTTTCCCCATTTCATGATCACTTTTCAGTGATGCTTCTTTACAAACCTTACAGATCAGACACAAGCATAGCAATGGTAGACAAAGAGAATTACTGAAATGCTATAACAAGTAACAACTCCCTAGCCAGCATGTATTTCCGTTCATTCAGTACAAGCAAAAAATTAGTACATATAGAAAATCCATGGAGCACGATTATTTAATGTCTAATTTCAAAATCATATATTAATTATATATGTGCATCTGGCCGGCCACCGTTATCCGCATGTCAGAATGGCGATCAGTCGAGTCGCATCCACTCGGGCTCGAAATATTGGAAATATTGCGGGGAAATATGGTTAAGTTTCATTAAGTATGTAGCTTGGGCGGGGCGACTGTCATTACATCTGCTGCTGTCTGCCATTGGTTCAGATCTGTTTTTTATAAACATTATTAGTGTTAGAGAGGCTTGATGTTTACAGTCTCTGTGTAACACTACTACTACTGTAAATTGCTTTCAGATAAGATAAACTGCATACAATCCCCCAACTTTTTATACAAATTACTCAATTGCTAATTGATATGACACCTTTGTCTGAAACACTGAGAAATTAAATAAAGTTCCTTATTTACCTGTTGCCTAGAAATTTACATCCCTGACCCATCATAGGTCCTGATTTTAAATCTTACCACATGTTGAACGTCTTGTAATAGGATATATCTGTATTTTAAATGGGAAGGTAAGTACCAATAGTCAGCATTCGTTTACTGCAACTTCATGGAACCTTGGTTATTTTCCGTGGGTTGCTTATGGATTTCTAATGCAATAAAAACTAAGAATGAACAATGTGGCTAAATACATATTTCAAAATGACCATAATGCAATCGAGGGATTCTCTATAGTGTTTTTTTCGTTCTTGATATCAAAGAAAGTTTATTATTGTTTTCCGCAGACACAATGGCAGAACAACGTTTCTCCCCGAAAAAACAACTTTTAATTCTCGTAATAGTAACATTGACGTTTCTTGTTGTGTATCATAAGAAATGGATAATGACATTAAACTTAGGTAAGACAATAATTGAATTAAATTAATGTGTATGCACTGATTAAAGAAGGGATGTGAATATCTTTACAGAATTATATTTGATATGCTTTATCATAAAATAATGCAGTATTCGTTCGATAAAATAGTGCGCTTCAAATGACCTGTATATATAAGTCATTCAGTACAGCATTGCGGTTTTGTTGAAAGAATAGTACAGCGCACTTTATCTATGACAATTTTTCTAAGGAACTAATCGAAACAACATGCTCAGAATTAGACATGATTGTTTTTTCAAACATTCGAACGCCAAAGTTCTATATATATAATATATATATGTGTATATATTTTAGTATTAGTTTTATAAAAACAAAATTTATTGGTTGAAAGAAACTAAAATCAGAGAAACAGGTTCGACATTTTTGGGGAGTACCCTTTACTGTGGGAACTGGTACCCTAAATATGACGTGCAATTATCATGTGTCAAATATGATATACATTTTTCTTGTGATGGTGAATTTGTTAATGATCGTGTCTGTTCGATCGTTTTGTTAATTGAAAAAAGTGACAAACCGATGTTCATGGGCAGTGCTGACTAATGTAGGCCGACATTTGTAACCGTGCAGATAAATGATGCACGAATACAAAATGTATTTATTTTTTCGTAGACCAATTGAATGCTCCGGGTTATCAAAAGAGCACCAGAGAGCAGCAAAGGTCCATGGAAGCTCAAGAAACAAATCATACAACAGTGGAAATTGCTCGGAAGGTTGAAAATCCCACCCAAAATCCCGAGATGGTAATTAATTAGAGCATATTTGAAACTGTGTGTGTTTTGGCACTGTTCTTTTATAAACGTTACAACGCCATATTGTATATGATGTTTGATTGAAAGCTATCGTGATAGGGGGCTGGGTCTTACTGTCGAACCCATCTGCATGAAAGTATGAGAAAAGTGATATTTTTGAAAATTGCTATTTTTTCAATATATATATATAAATGTACATGTTTACATATTTAACACACTCTTGTTTTCCTGTTTTCACAGTATGTGCGGGAAAATGTCAAAACTATCACATATGATTGTCAAAAGGTTAGCCAACAACGAATGGAAACTGCCAGACAAGCCTGCTTGGCTAACAACATAACGCCATCGAAGAAACCAAGGCACATTGGCTCGCTTATTGTTTCAAACAAATACAAATTTATGTTTGAGTTGACTCCTAAAGTCTCATCTACATGTTGGAAGCATTTCTTGCATGATGTTGTTGATCCACAATGTATGGGAAATGTGTACGGAGATGGAATGTTGAACACTGTCAAATTAAATAAGACCATAGAGGAGTTAGAAGAATATAAAAAAACGATATTTTTCCGGGAACCCCTGGAACGACTTGTATCCTACTACTATTCCATTGTGCATTACACGTCGGTGTTTGCAGGTAGGAATAAAGAGTTCAATGACCTCATCATCAGAAGTGGAATCCGTAATCACAGTGTGATGCACAGCAAGCCTAAGGGAGATATTTACAATATTACATTCTCGGAGTTTGCACAGATGGTTCTTTTTTACAAAGCTAATTCCAGTATTTCAATGTCTGGTCACTACCAAAGAGTGGGGTATAAATTATGCCTTCACGATTATGACTTTATTGGCCACTTTGAGACCCTTGCTGAGGACGCTGAATGTTTTCTCAAACTAATCAATATCGCTGATCATTACAGTTTTCCAGAAATACATGTACAGAAGGGCAACGTCAGATTCAACGAATCATTGAAAAGTTTGCCCCGAAACATCCTCAGAGATTTAATCGAATTTTATCGATTGGATTATGAAATTCTTGGGTATAAAATTCCAAAATTTTAATGACTTTTAAATAATTAAATACAGGCTACATGTATGAATCATTGTCTATTACATATATGATTCTTACAACAATAAATGCAACACACAGTATTTTGTGAGTTTTCTCAGAAACCAAAATTCACAACGACTTTTAAGATGCTTTACCAAATCGAATTTTAATCAAAGGTTTGGCCATATAGGATGAATCACGAATACTAAAATATTATCACTCACATTTCAGTTATTTAGGCCAGCGAAAAGTTCACATGCTTTCCAAAGCACAATACACCATATATGATTTCCAACGTGCGTATCTTGACGTACAGTACGCGCTCATAACTTCTAATTAGAAAATCATTCTTTTTAAATTACTTGACATACTGAGCTGTTTGTCTGGTTGCTGTAATTGTGGGTCATCATGCAGTTGAAGTGATGATCCCTCATATAATAAAGACGAGTCTAGTCAAACTTCCATTTATAGTTTAATTAAGGTTAGAGCTCTTCTCTTTCTTAAAAGCATGAAATACATATTTACCCAGGTTTCTTAAGGTACCACTATTAATTGCTATCGACAGTTGTACGAATTTAGGGACTAATAATATATTTGTTAGGATATATTTGATTCTGTGTCAAAACCACCAAATCTTTGGCCATAGAGATATTTTGTTGCTTTCCTTGCCCAATGTTTAAACTTGATAAGCAAAAAGAAGTACTCATACGCACAAAGACCGGTTTCGTAGTTGCAGTAAGATATACTTTGCATGCTAACAGTTCTTTGTTATATCAGAGTTAGTACCTTCCATGATCGGATATAGACAAAAGCCGTGTTTGAATAATGTTTTAGTGTGTGTCGGTGTCAATGTTCGTATTTGCATACCAAAACATTGATGAAGTTGTTGGCGTAATTGTTCAAGACCAAGGGGGGCTTTCAGAACATAGTGTACCCCTGATTTTAGGACATAGTTTATACATACTTTTCCCTTGATTGTTCAAGCTAACCTGCCAGTACATGCGTTGTTCAATGTGATGACAATAGGACTTGTTGCGACCAATGATGAACAAAATGGGGGAAAGTATGACGCACTCAATCACAAATATCACGATATACACGTGTGCAATGTATTATCTGCAAAATCATAGTAATTACATGCTCAACTTTGATAGTATGACCAATAATCAATAATAACGCTGAACGTTGGATGCCTATCTGTTTTAATATGCAGGCTCATCGTTGTGCTAAATAAGAAATAACTGTGTTGTGGGAAGTTTCTGCTATCCTACCAAGAGTAACTAGCTTGATAGTCCCTCTTCTAATAACCATATTCAACTGATTCTCATTCACTTTTTAAACAGGCTTGTCCGATACAAATTTATTTAGGCATTTTCGGGAAAATGATTTTTAATCGATTTTTTTTATTCGATGGTCAAACACCACTACTGTACCAGTAAAACTCGTGCGCAAATCAAATCGTGAACACAGTATCAAAGTCACGTGTATATGAAGTGTATAACTAAACCTATACCATTTTTTTGCTACTTAAACTCAAACTAAATAGAGTGTCAATTAATTCTAAACACCCACCATACACTACAAACGTGGGGAAATACATGCCTCATCACAACGTCAAAACACACTGTCATATAAAATATATAATACCAATACCATATCAGTAGAATCACCTAACGTTTAAAATCGGGTGAAAATGGACGAAATATCACATAGATATGGGTGGCTGAAGTCATTCACAAATATTACAAGTACTATGTAATAAGTACCAATTTTATCTCACTCTAAACAACAATCCATATCACTAATGCAAACCAAACTATACGAAAATACATCAATTTTAAAACAATATAATGTGGGACATTTCTCATGATAACACATATTTTTGTAATCCTTTGCCTCTTGTTTTAAACATGTACTGTCTGTCTTGTCAGTAATACCATGCACAGTTGTTGTCAACTATTAACCATATTGTTTCAAACACGAAGGAGTGATTACTGAACGATAATCACGAGAAGATATCACTGTAGCTACGAATATTAAAAACCCTGTGTCATTTAAATCTATAAAACAGAAATTTGAACACAGGCGAAATACCACATACCACAATTCACACATATTGAAAAGTACTAATTTTATTTTACTCCAAACAGCGATGTCAAACACTCCATAAATACAACAGACAGAGCAGACATGTTAAAGAAAAACACACCCCCTATTGCAGACATATATTGCAAACATCCTACCCCGGCACCTTACCCCCTATTGCGAGCAATCTTTGCCGGTTTTTGCACTCAAGTGGAGTGTGATCAACTCAAACAAGCTACTTATGATTGCTGTGTACGCAACTCTTGTTGCTGCCATTCACTGTTTGATGAAGAAAGATGAAAACTATTGACATGATTATGAATATGATCATTTATTTGATAGTTTAATACACAATGCACATAACTTTGCCAATATTCTATTCCATCATACAGTATGATTTGAATCATTGCCCTTCATCCAAATGTCTTCTTGCTTTTCATGCTTACGAGGAATGCTCGGAGCACTGGGGTCTGCTCTCATTTCCTGAATGTTATTCATTCCGGAGAGATTGAGAAATGAGAAATTATGTCGAGTTTTAATGAAACTACCATTTTCAAATAATCCTTGCATGGTTGGCTACCAGACAAATCGTGGCGGACCTCTTTTCTAGGTGTTAGGTCCCTAGGTCCCTAGTGGCCATGATCAGAAAGCCCACAGAAGTGTGTCTGTTCTTGCATCCCAGTATATTTGTTTCCAAATGACAGTCTTATCTTTGCACGCTTCAACAAGGACATCCCCTGAGATGCCATAGTGGCGCTTCAGACTCTGGTAGGTTTGGGAAAGTTTCTTGAAAACATCTAGAGCTGATGGTTTGAGGCTGTAGTGAACCAATTTCTTGCGTCTTCTTCATTTACGAGATGACTTAGATGGACCACACACATTCTCAGACATCACTGTGGCTATACGTTCACCTCCCCAGATCTTTGCCAAGTCATACATATCTTGGGTAAACTTGCCATACCTCTTGCCACCAGGTTTATGAGTAAGATTCTTGGCAATGAACTCAATAAGTCCACTCTTGCTAGCTACCTCACGAGAACAGGTCAAGGCATAAATATCAGACCTTTTCGCATGATCCTCTATGAAGAGTTATTTTCCTAGCCATGGTAAGAAACAGCTTGTGTTGTTGAGACTGCTGTCGATATAGGCGCAATTTATCAATCATCTGCTGCATATCATAATAAGAATTCCTTGTCCTGCTACCCAGTTTAGCAATAAGGGGTCCCTTGGAATGCCATTAGTTTAGGCAATTCTGAGCTTTCAGTGCAAGTATATCGATCCTGATAGAAGCAAAGTCTTTTACACTTTGTACTGCGTATGCTATCCACAGAGGAACCTATGGCAGTATTGATCTTTGTATATGGCTCAGGAATCCATAGAATACCTCCGTTTTTATCAAAACCTGGATTCGCATTCAATAGGAAATCAATATCAAATGCCTTGTTCCAAATATACACTAGTTTCTCAAAAAAACCAAAACAAGGATTTGGCCTGGAACCTTGAATTTTGATGGAATTGGATGATACGAGTGCTTGAGGCTCTAGTCATTTACTTGACCCAGTGCAACCAAAGGAAATTACACTCTGTTTAACCTTTTTGCCAGTATTGGCAAGATGAGTAGCACCCTCACTATTACTGCAAAAGAACTTGTCTTTGAATGAAGAGGCAGAGTCTTTGAGCAGAATCTACAGAATACCTTGGATTCATCAGAACTCGAGTTTTAAAGCTTGAAAACACCAGGGTATTTTACATCAAAAGTTTTGAACAGTTCTTCATCTTTTTTAACTTTTTCCTGCTTTGAAAGACAAACACTACCTGCATTCCCTCGCTCCTTGTACCGTTCAAATTTTGTTTTGTGTGAATCACTACCTAAATGTCTTTTTGAATCAGCTAGTCCTTTTCTACGTACAACAGCCATTATTGATTTTCGACACAACGTACACAAAATCTTCAACTTCTTCTCCTTAACCACCAATTCTGTTATATCCTTGACACCTAGAGAGTCTAGTCTTCTGTTCAAATCATCTCCTTTCCAATCACTGTCATAACCTGAAAAGTCAAATTTATTGTGGCATTTATGCATAGAAACCCTCAACATAAGTTTTAACTTTTCCTACCAACTTTCTCACAACTGTTTTAAGATTTAAATAATAAACTAAAGTGAATTCTTTATAGTCATTATTGCTTTATGACTATGTTCGATACATTAGAATGTGGAAAATATTCTTACCTGACAGATATTTTTCTCCAGACTTCTCTGCAGCGGAAGCAGGAGCAGAAGTCAAGTCGTGACCATCACCTGCATTGTCAATACTCATGAAGATATGCAAGTTGGTAATGATAGGAGACGCCCGGGAATCAATTGAGCTAACAACAGTCATTGTAGAAGTGGTAGTCGTGACAGTGCTAGGAGCATGACTGGGAGCATCTGGCTTATGTCGCTTTGCTGCAAAAAAAGTTTGTTGATAATATTCAAATAAAATTGGAAAATGTTTTTGGTTTCCAACCTAGCTCTCTTTGAATTTAAGAAGTTATATCGAGTATGGTACATACTGTTTCTAATTGAATCATCCTCTTCTGGTCCTTTTTTTATTCCTATTGATAGTAACAGAGTCACTTACTCTGGCATCCACCTGCTGCTGGCAATCGGGAACCCCCACAACTGATGAGACTAGAAAAAAAAATGAATAGATGTCAAATAAATAGGGAGCATTCATACAATCAAACAAAGGCAATAAAAGATATGCTTTAAAAGAGAATTTCACAGACACTAATGATGTGCGGTCAAGGCACTTCACAATTACTATTGTCTTAAAAGGGGGCTTGCTGATCTGAGTTTGACCAAATATTGACAATGACATGAATGGCATATCTGCACTATTATTTGATTCCTCAATATCTTCCAGTAGATGAACAGGGGCAGTTG